TGGAGAGGGTTGGATTATGAGGAGAGACTGAGTAGACTGGGATTATACTCATTGGAATTCAGAAGAATGAGGGGAGATCTTATAGAAACATATAAGTTTATGAAGGGAATAGATAAGGTGGAGGCAGGGAGGTTGTTTTCGCTAGCAGGTGAAACTACAACAAGAGGGCATTGCCTCAAAATAAAGGGAAACAGATGTAGGACTGAGGTCAGGAGGATCTTCTTCACCCAAAGGGTTGTGAATCTGTGGAATTTCCTGCCCAGTGAAGCGGTTGAAGCTACCTCACTGAATGTTTTTAAGGCAAGGCTGGATAAATTTTTGAACAGTAAAGAACTTAAGGGTTATGGTGAGTGGGCGGGTAAGTGGAGCTGAGTCTCAAAAAGATCAGCCATGATCTTATTAAATGGCGGGGCAGGCTCGAGGGGCCAGATGGCCTACTTCTGCTCCTAGTTCTTATGTTCTAATGCCCTTACAGTTGGTTTTGCTATAACACGTGTTCCTGCAACGCGAATTTGCTATAAAATGACTAACAAATAGGGGAACACTATTTCTAAAATGCAAACTTGTGTTGGCTTTCACACGATTCCATCAGTGCGCAGAGGAGTATGCGTCAACATGACACGATTGTTTTGCGGGCTTTGTCCTGAATGTGTGCAATGTTAGCGCCAAAAGAGTCCCTGCTCTGGCATCACATGATCATTTCATAGACTTTGTCTTGAATATGCGCAGTGTTAGAAACGAAAGAGTCTCCGTACCAGCATCACGTCATCATTTCACAGACTTTGGTGTGAAGCGCTTTCTGTGAGAGGTACAGTACTTCATGATTTTTGGGTTTTTTTTTTGCAAATTCTGCCACGTTACCAACAAAAATGTGAGGACAAAATGACAAGAATGTAAAAGGACAGCTATAACACTGGAAGAGAAGCTAGATGTCATAAAGTGCTTTGAGCATAATGAGAGAACATATGACGTAGTTTGCGTAACACGAATAAAGGAGTCTACCTTATGCACTATTAGAGGCAATGCAGAAAAGATTAAAGCAAGCTGTATTGCTGGGAAAGTCAGAGTGCAAGCAAATCTGTGAGGTCACAGACAAAGGAACTTGAGGAGATGGAGCAGATTCTAAGTGTGTGGATAGAAGATCAAACGAAAAAGCAATCTGGGCCCACCTTTCTCGCCATAAAAGAGAAAGCCTTATCAATTTTGAAGATCTGGCAAAAAAAGGTGAAAATCCCACAGATGTGCCTGCCTTTAGTGCTAGCAATGGCTGGTTTGCTGGTTTTAAGAACTGCTATGCTTTCCATAACGTAAAGTTATGTGGCAAAGCTGCTAGTGCAGACGAGGAACATATGATGGCATTTTCTCCCATAGTAAAAAGATTAATTGACGAAAAAGGCTACAACTTCGATCAAGTTTTCAATTTGGATGAGACAGGTTTATACTGGAGCAAACGCCATCAAGAACCTACATTTCTGTGAATGAAGCACACGCTCCAGGCTCGTATGACTGTGCTGCTGGGTGCCAAAGCCAGTGGAGACTTAAATCTTAAGCCTGTCTTGGTGAACCACTCTGCCAACACAGAAGCCTTGAAAGGTTATCTTAAGTCTACTCTAAGCGTCTACTTTGGGTCCAGCAAAAGAGGTTGGATGATGGGGCAATTTTTTTTCTGACCTTATTGTTGATGTTTTGGAAGATGTTTTTATAAAGTATTGCAGGAAAAAATTTGGATTTTAAGATTCTCCTCATTCTGGACAATGCGCCAAACCATTCTCCCACCATTGGTGAGCTTTCTGAAAACATCAAAGTGCTATTTCTACCCCCTGATTTAACATCAAGAATGCAATTGTCATTGTCGTGGAGGCCTGGGGTGCCTGTTGGTAAGGTCTGCTTACATGCAGTTTGGCAGAAGCTTCTTCCATATTTTTTTCAAGATTTTAAAGGCTTTGATCTGTCAGAGGAGCTCCCAAGAATCAAAGAACATTGTGTTGATCTTGGAAAGCAAGTTGGATTTGAAGAAGTGGCAAGTGAAGATGTTGAAGAGCTGCTTGAATCCCACTGGTGAAGATCTCTCTACAGCAGATATACAACAACTTGTCACTGAGGGGGAAGTGGAAGCTGGAGATAAAGAAGATGAAGTCCAGATGCAGCACCACAAGAGCTTTCCACTTCTGTTTTGTCGTCCTATTCTGAGGGAAATTGAGAAGCAGTTGCAGCTCTTAGAGGACAGTGATTACAATGCAGAACACAGCAGGTAACAGTTTTTTTCTTTATTCATTCACGGGATGAGGGCATCGCTGGCCAGGCAGCATTTATTGCTCACCCCTAATTGCCCAGAGGGCAGTTTAGAGTCAA